ACCCCTTTGTAGTTTTTTTTTTCCCCTTGATTAGGAAAGAGGGGATGGATAGATTTTTATATCTGCCTATGATGTAGGATTGTGTTGTCAACTTTTAATGTGCAGGAAGATCGCTGGAGAAAAAGGTGCTTGAGGTGGGGTGCAGTGGTTCATGCCTGTAATCCCAGCACTCTGGGAGGCCGAGGTGGGCGGATCAGTTGAGGCCGGGAGTTCGAGACCAGCCTGGCCAACATGGCAAAACCCTGTCTCTACTAAAAACTACAAAAATTAGCTAGGTGTGGTGATGTGTGCCTGTAATCTCAGCTACTTGTGAGGCTGAGACACAAGAATCAGTTGAATCCGGGAGGCGAAGGTTTCATTGAGCCAAGATCGTGTCACTGCACTCTAGCCTGGGTAACAGAGTGAGACTCTGTCTCAAAAAAAAGAAAAAAAAAAGTGGTGCATTAGCCCTATCCCTGGAAATGCAGGGCAGTAGGTCTGGGTAGGGCCCTGGGCATTTTTTTTTTTTTAATTCCACAGGTGATTTTGATGTGTAATACAGGACAAAATTCTGCAGTAGTGATACAGAATCGATGTCTGAGCCATTGTCGAAGAACTAAAAGCAAGGTTGTATGTCATCAAACTGATACTTTTCCTAACATTGAAGAAATACTAATATTTTGAATTTATTGGTCTCCTATAGAATAAATTTGGCTAGTCTCACACTGCTGGGAGCACTACTGCAAAATTATTTTCTCTAAACATTGTAGCCACATTTATATTTTTATAGTTTGACCAAATTTCCCTATATTCATATTTCCAGTGTCTTTAATTCCTTTTCCTTCTTCTTGGAATATCTTTGTTTCCAAAATGCCAGGATGTCCATTTTCATGTTTTTAAGTCAGTATAGAGTTGGGTTAATGTGGATGGCTTTAACCCACACAACCTTTTGGATGGTTGTGTGCTTCACAGTAGCCTAGGTGGAAGACTGATAGCACCTTTTATTTGTTTTTTATTTTTAATTGATGCATTATCGTTGTACATACTTATGGGGCACAGTGTGATACATGTATACAATGTATGTGGGCCAAATCAGGGTAATTAACATATCTGTCACCTAAAACAGTTATTATTTGTGTTGTAAACATTCAAAATTTGCTCTTCTAGCTATTTGAAAATATGCAATAAATTGTTGTGAATTATAGTCACCCTCTAGTGCTACGGAACACCAGAACTCATGCCTCCTGTTTAGCTGCACATTTATATCCATTAACCCACCTCTGGCTGATAGCATCTTTTAGATAAGAAAGTATTTCTCTGCACACTAGTAGCAAGTAGTATTTTTAACCTACATTTATGAACTGTGGGAAGTACCCAATCAGAGTGCCTAAGACATTCTGCTGCCGCTACAGTAGTAGGATTTATGTGGTAAATAGGCCACAGCTTTTGTCCAGGATGTGGCTTCATATCCTTGTCAAATCATGCACACCTATAAACGAGGTGTGTTTTCAACCACAGGGCCAAATATGCTCACAGCTCTGCCTCTTAGAAGGTGTTTCCCAAATGATATTTCCAATAATAACAAACGGAAGTTGATGAATCAGTTATTTAACCTTGAATTTACTCTGGTTTGTTGGTTGGCTGGTGTAGTAATGTCACTCACTTACCTGCATTCTAGTATCCTCCTTGAGTAGGGGAGAGGGAAGTAGCTTACCTGGACTAATGTCTCTGGAGGTGTACAAAAGAACCCTTGGGAATATATTGAACACAGGACTATCATGGGTCATGTCTATTGCTTTTCAAAAAATAGACTCTGAGATGGAGATTTGCATGCAGGTGGTTTAGCAGGTTTTCTGTTCAGAGAGGCCCTGAACTGAGCAAGGGGACCAGGCCTTTGTACCCAGCCATGGACTAGTCATTGGATACAGGCTGCCTTAGGGGGGTGGGAGGGGTTGCAACTTGGGTGAGGCAGCTTGTTTGGCCAAAGGCATTGCCTAGGAACGGACTCAGCTATGATTCAACAGCAGGCAGCATTTTCATCTAGGGGAATGAGGGGGACCCGAAGAGGGCATCTGAGTGACCCGCTGCAGTATCTGTGACAAGGACCATTGGTAGAATGTCTTGCTGGAATTATTCTAAGTGTGCAGCATGAAACTTGAGCATTTGGTCTCCTCACCTTGCGGAAGGTGGGGGGGTCTATATATTTCTTAAGATGTGGACCTTCCTTTAGTCTATTGGTTTCTGTTTTTTTCCCTGCCATTTTCCAGTGGTTAGCCATGGAAGGTCACCTACATGAAAGTCCGGGACTTGATCTCTTTTGGAGTTTAGATCGTAATTTTGAGGGCACACTTTTTTTTGTTTGTTTTAAGTTTGGCTGTGTAAAGTCTTTCACAAAATTACAATTCAATGGTTTGAAACAGTGGTTGCTCTTCAGAACTTTTAAATGGTCAAGAACCATCATACTGCATGCATTAACAGTGAGAACAGCACGGGGTCTCATTTCTATTCTTAATGACATACCTATTTCATAGAGTGGTTATATCTGTTTTGCAGATGAGGAAGCACAGATGCACTTAGCCTGGTTGCTTGTTGGTAAGGTGGCTGAGCAGGTTTATCAGTTTGAGTCTTTGCTCTGAACCTCCAAGCTGGATTGCATCCCAGAGATTATGGTAGTTGGGATAAAGGATACTGGTGGCAGGGCTAGGGTAATGCCAAGATACAGGCATTGTCTCCCATGATGAGGGTAGAGGCTAAGCCAGCTGAGCAGGCAAAAGATGGAAGGCTCGGGCGGGCACTGTGGCTCACCCCTGTAATCCCAGCACTTTGGGAGGCCGAGGTGGGCAGACTGCCTGAGGTCAGGAGTTCGAGACCAGCCTGGCCGGCATGGTGAAACCCCATCTCTGCTAAAATACAAAAATTAGCCAGGCGTGGTGGCAGGCGCCTGTAATCCCAGCTACTTGGAAGGCTGAGGCAGGAGGATCGCTTGAACCTGGGAGGTTGCAGTGAGCTGAGATCATGCCATTGCACTCCAGCCCGGGCAGCAGAGCAAGACTGTCTCAAAACAAAACAAACAACAACAACAACAAAACAAACTGGAAGGCTCCTGTTATCAGAAGTGTGACTTTTCTGCATCAGAATAGCTAAAAACAATGATGATGTCCTGTGCTTCTTTGGAGTAGTGTCAAGTCCAGAAAAGTTCATAGTGAGTCCTAAATGGGACCAGTTGAAGAAAGCAATGCCTGGCAAGTCTCTAACAGCAAAAGGCTAAACAAGACTTCAGATTCAGTGAACACAGGCTTTTCTTTGGCTTTATTTGTATGAGGATAAGGAACATTTTTCTCTTGTTTCTTTACCAAGTAGGTAAAATAGTCCTCTCCACAAAGTCAAAATCCAAAAAAGAAAGCAGGAGGAGGACCATAATTGCAAAGGAAAGTTTCATCTTGAGTGCGGCTTTCCTTGGCAAACAGCGACTCCCTCCAGTGTTGATTTGAGGAGTCTCAAGTTGTATCTAGGCTGAGAGAGAAAGTGATGCCTCTTTCTTGATGAGTGAAACCGATTAGTTGTGGGAGGGGACGGAGCCTGACATTAAACCAATGACTTTCCTTTATTTTTTTAGGCACGCACCCCTGAGCCTTCTAATTACACTTGCAGATTTTTTTTTTTCCTGTGTTTTTCTGTACGGCCAAAATTTCTCTTGATTTAACATTCTGTTCTTTCTCTTTGCCCACAGAGAGCTGTCAACTCTTACTCTTTTTTTCCTCCAGAGAACCCTTTTGGCCTTCATCCTTTGCACTGTTTTTACAGTTAAATACTGCATTTCCTTTTTATGCTCTGGGATATCTTTTAGTCCTGGGACCCCTAGATGAACAGAAATTTCATTCCAGAAAAATTCTTTACCCTGAGTCTTGGTAGGGTCTAAATCAGTGCTTACACTCCCTTAAAAACAATGAGGCGATTTTTGTTTTGAGACAGCAGCCTTGCAATATGTAAGACTGCTGCGTTTGAGTGGTGAATTAACAATTTGCTTGCAAGCAATAAGTCACTGATGTCAGCCAAAGCTTATTAAAAATGGATTTTAGTAAGCGAATGCTATTGGGACAAAGAGCACAGCTTTTCCTAGCTTTGCAGAAGCACATACCAAAGTGAGCAGGTGGATTGGGAATAGGCAGAGGGGTACATACGTACATTTGGCCTTTTTCTGTTTCACACTCATATTTCTTTGTGCTACCAGGATCGTCATGGCAGCCTTATCTCTCAAGTAAAGCCCGTTACCTCATCCCTAATTGCTTATCCAAAGGCAGGCGAGCTCTGATTTCTCTGCATTAATAAATGACACCAAAGAAGAACTGCTTTGTTTGCACTGGCTCACTCAGGTTAACCAGCATAAGCCCCTGAGAGCATTGGGAAACCTTGCACTTTGCCAGTGGTCAAGGAGAGGTGGCGTTCACTGCGATCGAGAGCAGTGTTGCGCTTGTTTACTTTTTGCTCATGTTTATAGCCCTGTTCCTTTCCCAGTGAAAACCCCTTCGTGACCTAAAGCAGCTTTTCTCTAGCTGTGGGTACCCACTCCCTTCCTAGTGGGGAGTAGTGGCGATTGCCCTGGGAGAAGGGGTGGCCTCCCTGATTTCAAGGCTCACTTCCTGGGCTGCCTGCTGCTCACCTTTCATTAGAGGTCAGGAGCCTCTCCACAGACCTTGGCACTGATTGCTGTGCCATACACAAGGCTGGAAGATAGCACCCCTGCTGCTCTGTGAAGCACGATGGGAAATGGTCATACGAGTTTCATAAGTGAATATGAGGAGTGGAGACGTGTGGGAGTCTGAGAATGGTGGATGGCTGGCAGGTTCTGAACTAGTTCCATGACTGCCTGGTGAAACAGTGCGGATGCCTCCCTCCTGGGAAACAGCGTCAACTATCTTGTCACCACCTAAGGATATCTCTGGTCATTTAAAGGGCCTGTACATTTGAGTTATTTCCATATCTGAGAATTGTAAACTTATTTCCTTTTTTGTCCCCCACAGAATGAAATGAATGATGTGCCCTTCTTTGATATCCAACTGCCTTACGAATTGGCAATCAATATATTTCAATATTTGGACAGGAAAGAACTAGGAAGATGTGCACAGGTAAGATGTCGCCAACAGATGTTCAAGATTTCCCTAAATGAGTGATTAAAGTATAGGACTCTCCTGGGTAATAGAAATTTACTTACAGAATTATAAACTTTGCAGAATGAATGAATTGGATGGCAAGTGTGATTGAAGGAAAGCCACCTTGACCTTAAAGGATTATAGTCCACATCACCACTCGGTGTGTATCTTTCTGTGACCCAAGAGCTCTCTTCTCCCTGCCGTCTTCTGAGTTATGGCTGACCTGTGGCAGCGTGCCGGTGGCTGACAGCTTGGTGCTCAGCCTTTATTGAGCTTGCCTGCGCTATTAATGTACTCACAGTTTTTAATGCAAAGATGTAAGCCCTTGGTTAAATCAAGCCAGTTGTTAGGTTGGGGGCTGAGGGTCAGCCGAGGGACAGAACGGTGAAGTCATGTTTTAGGTGCATAGTCCAAATTACCCTTTAAACTTTAGGATCTCAATCAGTGAGGTGCAAGGCGGGTGAGAACTGAGACCCACCAAAGGAATTGCAGATCAGTGTCACCCATCTCATGCGTACTCTGGGTCATATGCCTGTGGAGTAGAATGGTGGGAGATATCATTCAGGCCAAACTGCATTGTGTATAGGAATCATGAGGGGATCTTGATAAAATGCAGATTCAAATTAAGGAGGTCTTGGGTGGGCCTGATAGTCTACTTTCTTTTTTTTTTTTTTTTGAGACAAGAGTCTTGCTCTGTTGCCCAGGCTGGAGTGCAGTGGCACAACCTTGGCTCACTGCAACGTCTGTCCTCCCTCCCCATGGTCCAAGCAGTTCTCCTGCCTCAGCCTCCCGAGTAGCTGGGACTATAGGCGCATGCCGCCCAGCTAATTTTTGTATTTTTAGTAGTGATGGGGTTTCACTGGCCAGGCTGGTCTCAAACTCCTGATCTCAGGTGATCTGCCCGTCTTGGCCTCCCAAAGTGCTGGGATTACAGGCGTGAGCCACCACGCCTGGCGCCATTGATAGTCTGCTCTCTAAGCAGGGGGTGCCAGCGTGGCTTTGGCCACATTTTGAGAGAGGCAAAGGTTTATACCATTAAAATTGTTCTTTTGTTCTCGCCTTTTTGGCCAAGAGTGTGTGATTGATATTTCTTTTCTTTTTTTGAGACAGAGTCTTGCTCTGTCACCCAGGCTCTCTCACCCATGGAGTGAGGTGCCATGATCTCGGCTTCCTGCAACCTCTGCTTTTTGGATTCAAGCAATTCTCCTGCCTCAGCCACCCAAGTAGCTGGGATTATAGGCGCATGCCACCATGTCCAGCTAATTTTTGTTTTTTTTTTTTAGTAGAGACAGGGTCTTGTAACGTTGGCCAGGCTGGTCTCGAACTCCTGACCTCAAGTGACCTGCCCAACTCATCCTCCCAAAGTGTTAGGATTACAGGCATAAGCCACTGCGCCTGGCCTGATTTTTCTTTTTTAAAAATTTCATTTTATTTCTTTAAACGGACAAATAAAGTTATATATGTTTATCAGGTATAACAAGATTTTTGAAATATCTATGCATTGTGGAATGGTTCGGTGGAGGTAACTAACATGTATTACCTCACATACTTATTTTCTGTGGTGAGAACACTTCAAATGTATTCTCTTAGTGATTTTCAAGTATACATCATTAACCGAAGTCACTGTTGTATAGTGGAGCCCTGAACTTATTTCTTCCATCTAACTGAAGCTTTGTATTCTTTGCCATCCTGCTCCGCCAGCCACTGGTAACCACCATTTTACTCTCTACTTCTATGAGCTCAACTTTTTTAGATTCTGCGTTTAAGTGAGATCATGCAACATTTGTCTTTCTGTGCCTGGCTTATTTCACTTACCATAATGCCCTCTAGGTTCAAACATGTTGTTGTAAATGACAGGATTTTCTTCTTCTTCTTTTTTTTTTTTTTTTTTAAGACTGAATAGTATTCCTTCGTGTGTATATGCCATATTATCTTCATCCATTTATCTGTTGATTCTGTATCTTGGCTGTTGCGAATACCATTGCATTGAATCTGGGAGTACACAGATCTCTTTGACTTACTGTTTTCACTTCCTTTGGATATATATCCAGCAACCAGAATTGCTGGATCATATGGTAGTTCTATTTTTAAAGGCACCTCTGTTTCCTTAATGGCTGTGTTAATTTACATTCCCACTAACAGTGTGCAGGCGTTCCCTTCTCTCCACCTCTTCATCGGCACTTGTCTTTTTAGCAATAGCCATTCTAACCAGTGTCATTTTAATTTGCATTTCTCTGATGATTAGTGCTGTTGAGCGTTTTTAAATATACCTATTGGCCATCTGTATGTCTTCTTTTGAGAAATGTCTATTCAGGTCCTTTGTTCATTTTCAAATTGGATTGTTTGTCTTCTTGCTATTGAGTTGTTTGAGTTCCTTATGTAACATTTTGGATACTAACTGCTTATCAGATATATGGTTTGGAAATATTTTTTCTCATTTTGTAGGTTGTCTCTGTACTCTGCTGATTGTTTCCTTTGCTGTGCAAAAGCTTTTTAGTTTGATGTAATTCCATTTGTCTGTTTTTGTTGCCTGTTCTTTTGGGGTCATATCCAAAAAATCATTATACCAGTGTCATGGAGTTTTCCCTCTAATTTTCTTTCTTATATTTTTGCAGTTGCAAGTCTTACATTTAAGACTTTAATCCATTTCGAATTTATTTATTTTTATTAAGACACTCACGCTGTTGCCCAAGCTGGCATGCAGTGGTGCGATCATGGCTCACTGTAGCCTCGAACTCTTGGGCTCACATGATTCTCCCACCTCAACCTCCTGAGTAGCTGGTAGTACAGGCTCATGCCAACATGCCCAGCTAACTTAAATTTTTTGTAGGGAAAGGGTCTTGCTTGGTTGCCAGGCTAGTGTCAAACTCCTGGCTTCAAGTGAAAGTTAATTTCTTTATAATAGCATGAGATGGGGGTCTAATTTCATTCTTCTATATGTGGCTATCCAGTTTTTACAACACCATTTATTGAAGAGACTTTTTTCCTCCATTGTGTATTCTTGGCACCTTCATTGAAAATCAATTGACTGTAAACGCACAGGCTTATTTCTGGACTCTCAATTCTATTTTGTTGATCTGTGTATCTGTTTTTATGCCAGTGCCATGCTGTTTACATTGCTATACCTTTGTAGTATATTTTGAAATGAGGTATTGTGATGCCTCCAGCATTGTTCTTTTTGCTCAGGATTGCTTTGGCTATTTGCAATGTTTTGTGTTTTTATGAAAATTTTATCATTGTTTTTTTCTATATCTGTGAAAAATGTCTTTGGAATTTTGATAGAGATTGCATTTCACTCACTTTGAGTAGTATGGACATTTTGATAGTGTTCTTCCAATCCCTGAACATGGAATATCTTTCTATTTATTTATATCTTCTTCCCTTTTCTCCTTAATGCTTTAAAGCATACTGGCCTTTAGCTTCCTTGGTTGAATTTGTTCCTAAGTATTTAATTTTGGTGTGACTACTGTGAATGGGATTATTTATTGACCTCATTTACAGATAGCTTGTTGTTGGTGTATTCTGCTGATTTTTGTACATTGATTTTGTACCCTGCAACATCACCAAATTTGTTTATTACTTTATTGGTGGAATATTTAGGGTTTTGTAATTTATGTTTATATTGCCTGTAAACAGGGACAGTTTAACTTCATCCTTTCCTGTTTGGATGCCTTTTATTTCTTTCTGTTACCTAATTGCTGTGACTAGGACTTCTAATACTATGGTGAATGCAAGTAGTCAGAATGCACATCCTTGTCTTATTGCTGAAGAAAAGCTTTCAACTTTTCGCTGAGTATAAGGTTAGCTTTGGTTTTGTCACATACGGCGTCTGTTGTGTTAAGGTACATTCCTTCTATACCTCATTTATTAAGAGTCTTTATCATGAAAGGATCTTGAATTTTGTCAAATGCCTTTTCTGCAACTGACATGATTATATCGTTTTTCCCCTTCATTCTGTTAATGTATTGTATTACATTTATAAATTTCTGTTGATTTCTCATAAGTTAAATGGGTGTATAATTGCTAACCATTTGGCTTTTGATGGACAACTGTTTTCTCTAGGAGACACTGGAGAATCCATTCTCCATAACCGCCAAAAAATTAGTTTGTTTAGTGCTTAGCGTTTTCATCCCTGGATTCTATCATGCATTTTACACAGTTGTTTACAGCTTTAAGAGAAAGGGTTCGCAAAATTCAGTGGTAGGAAAACTGCACACTAAAATTGAAAGCACCACCGAGACTATGACATTCAGCATAGGAAGGCGGTTTGAGAGTGGTGAAAACTGTAGCCAGATCTGGACTCTACAGCGTGCTACCTCTATGGCAGTTCAGTGAAGTCACACATCATACAGGACCATTTAGACTTTTTAAAATTCTTTTTTCTTTTTTTTGAGACAGAGTCTCGCTCTGTTGCCAGGCTGGTGTGCAATGGCACGATCTCAGCTCACTGAAACCTCTGCCTCCCAGATTCAAATGATTCTCCTGCCTCAGCCTCCTGAGTAGCTAGGACTACAGGCGTGTGCCACCACGCTCGGTTAATTTTTGTATTTTCAGTAGAGATGGAGTTTCACCACGTCGGTCAGGATGGTCTTGAACTCTTGACCTGGAGGTCCACCTGCCTTGGCCTCCCAAAGTGCTGGGATTACAGGCGTGAGCCACCGCGCCCAGCCATTCTACTCTTTCTTTATGAAGCATTTTGCTTAATCATTTTTCTACTTGAATATGAATTTGAAAGGATTTTTAATGTTCTTGATTGTTGCAGTATTGCTTAAGTCGGGGCATTGGCAAATATTTTTTGATGCACAATGTGTGTCTGGGAAGTGATGGAAATTATTTAAAGACTCAAATTCACTTTAAAAATGTGCTGAAATGTAAACTGTGCTCAGAGCCTATCAGTTGCACTAAGCATGAGTACCTATATTGTTTTCATTCCCCTTGGAAATTTGATTTGTTATATTCTAACTTTACACATTGGC